GACTTTACAGTTATTTTCTTACCATGTACTGAGTATATTGTAATAGAATTCTCCCTGGGTTTCTTCTATTCATTCATTGTTTGCTTTCAACCCAAGATATTTTAGGTTTTCCAATGGGAATACAGAAAGCAAAATTAGCCATCTAGATTTCTTCCCCATATTTTTGCGGATTGCGCTTGAATGGGCTTATTTGTGGATGGGTAAGTGTGACTTATCCATTCCCTAAATAACTAGCATTGCCATGCTTGAGATTGGGAACATAAAATTAAAAAGGCAAAGTTCTTGATCTTGACTCACTTGCAACCTATTCATGGAGGCGGAATTTTAACTGTAGACAATTACACTTTTGTGACATGGACACAAGTACTCTGTGACACAGCCCAGAGGGGATGGGGGCTGAATATGGAAGGAAGCAGTTGAGATGGAGTGGAGACAAGGAGCACAGCACTCACTAAGGTGATCGTTAGGTGCCTTGGGTCAGCTTCAGCTCTTGCGGACCTTCAGTGCAACAGAACAGACCACTGCTGGGTCCTGGGCCATCCTCGCCATGGCGGCTCTGGGTCCTGGGCCATCTATGCAATGGCTGCTCTGGGTCCCATGCTGCCCTAACGACAGCCTGTCTGGGGCCTGTGTCACCCTCACGATGGCGGCTCTGGGGCCTGTGTCACCCTCACGACGGCTGGTCTGGGTCCTTTGTCACCCTCACGACGGCCGGTCTGGGTCCTTTGTCACCTTCACAACGGCTGGTCTGGGTCCTGTGTCATTCTCACGATGTCTTCTCTGGGCCTGTGTCACCCTCATGACGGCTGGGTTGCTTGAGTCCATTCTTGAGGTCACTCTGTGCTTTGAGTACCTTCTAACCTCAGGGCCCATCTCCCACACACTATCACACAGTGGTCTGTTGAGATCTGTAGGGTTTTCTGTGGCTAATTTTGGGAAGTATCAGGCCTTTCTTCCCAGTCTGTCTTAGTCCGTGAGCTCTGGTGAAACCTGTCCACCGTGGGTGCACTACTGGCATTTGAAGTACCGGTGGCATAGCTTCCAGCATTGAAGCACACGCAAGCCACTGCAGTGTGACATGCTGATCAGTGGACGATGGGCAGACATAAGTGTGAAGCCATGTCTGTAGGATTGGCACAGAAGTAAGGGACCCAGCAAGGACGCCTGAAGGTTTCCGGGTTCACCTTTCAGTGGATGGATTTAGCACTGCTAACTGAGGTGGAGGCTACTGAGGGAATGTCTCTGGGGATTGTTTGACTTTGCTTTAAGGGCCATTCTTGCTGGGTGTTTTCACCAGAACAGGAAGAACCCTGTGTGGCAAATAATGGCAGTGAGCTCCCTGGAATCCTGTGTTGTTTCTTTCTCTGGTACTAGATGCATTGTGGTCAACTTTAGTTCAATTGTGGGACGTTAAGGCAGCAGTTCACCAAGAAGGTGCAGCCCACCATTCACTTGAGCCAGCTCAGCCTTCCCAGTTGACTCCAGTCACTTCACTGCTTTGGGCATTAATGGAAAGCAGAGTGGCCACACCCTTCTCAGTGTTTTCAGATTTGATCCTTTTAATGTGTGCATCGTCATCAGACCTTGAAAAGTTGAAATGAGGAGGCCTGAGTTCACATTGAGATTCACCTTCGTGTTGAGGGAGTAAAGGACATTACACTGGACATGGCTGTTGGAGGCTCAGGTCCAATGAGTGCGGACATGGCTGTTGGAGGCTCAGGTCCAATGAGCATGGCTTGTTCTTCCTTGACTGTGCCGTCCCTGGGACGTGGGACACACCATCCCTGCCAGGCACATCACTAGTACACAGGTGCAGCCAGACACTTGGCCAGTGTTTTGGGTTTTGTTTTAACATGTATTTTATCTAACTCAGTTGCAGCGTGCAGTCAGTATAAAAATTGAGTTTTGTTGTTGTTCCATTTTAACTATTATTAAGTGTACAATTCGATGACATTAATTGCATTCACGGTGTGATACCATCACCACTGTCCCAAAGCTTTTCATCCCCCTAGCAGAAACTGGGCACCCCATAAGCAATCATTCCATGTCCCCTCCTTCTAACCCCTGGTCACCACTAACGCGCTTTGGTCTCCATGCATTCATCCTGTTATAGATGTTCCCCATAAGTGGGGTTGCACGGTGTTTGTCCTTTAGTGTCTGACTTACTTCACTCAGCATCATGGGTTTCGGTCCATCCGTGTGTGGCTTCAGGACTTCTTTTCTCTGTGTGGCTGAGTAATCTTCATCATGTGGATGGACGGCACTTTGTGTATCCACTCAGCCCGGGATGGGCTCTAGGTTGTGTGCATCCTCTTCTGTGCTGGTTTGAGGTTTGCAGCAACTGGTGGCTCTCAGGTCGGAGGGCTCATGGGAGGCAGCATGGCGGGGCGGGGCTGTGGGTGTCCTATGACAGGCACACGCCCTGCGTTCTGTCCCCAGGAGTACCAGCCCTGCAACACCAGCCCCTGCCCTGAGCTGAAGAAGACGACACCGTGGACACCTTGGACGCCTGTCAACATCTCCGACAATGGCGGCCACTATGAGCAGCGGTTCCGGTACACCTGCAAAGCCCGCCTGCCCGACCCGAACCTGCTGGACGTGGGCCGGCAGAGAATCGAGATGCGGTACTGCTCCAGTGATGGGACCAGCAGCTGCCTCACAGATGGTGAGTGGGAGGTCCCCCTTACTGTAGCCATTTAATTATGTGTGGCGGTGGCCGGTGAATTCAGCTCCCAGAATAACAGGGACAGATAGGCCCAGAGGAGCTGGTGTGAGATTTATGTAGTATCAGAAAATACACTGAGTGCAGCTCAGGGCCTTCCACCGTAGTGGCACTAAGACGCCGGCTTCCATACACTTCTTTACTGACCCTGGGATCCCTGAGCAGGACACATGATGGATGCACTAAACTGCTCACCACAAGGTGGGAGGTTCGAGTCCACCCTGAGGCACCTCAGAAGACAGGCCTGGCAATGGCCTTCAGAAAACCTTCCACGGAGTGCCCCCTTCTACTGACATGCACGGCAGCAACTGGATGTTTTGGTTGATTTATCCCCAAACTGGACAAAGACAAGGGACGTGGATATCTCTGTTTGCACCAATGAAAGGTCTACTTTCGTGAACGGGAGGAGGCCTAGGGCACAGTGGTTAAGCACTCAGCTGATAACCAAAAGGTTGGGAGTTTGAACTCACCACCTGCTCCACAGGAGAGAGCAGGCAGTGTGCCTCCTCAGAGACTGACAGCCTTGGAGACCCTGTGGGGCAGTTGCGCTCTGTCCTCTAGGGGTGCTGTGAGTCGACTCCGTGGCAGTGCGTTTGGTTTTGGTTTTAGTGAGGGGTGTGATGAGATGACATGTGTAACTTACTTCATGTGAATAAACCAGATTCACCTCAGTGGAAAGAAGATGGAAACGAGACAGAGTGTAGGTTGGGACGTTGTTGCTCTATGTCCCCACAGCCCTGGAAGTCAGTGCCAGAGAAGTCTAAGGTCAAGGGGTCCAGAGGCAGCTGCCAGGGTCACCCTCCAGCTATGTGGCCTCAGGCGAGTTCCTTAACGTCTCTGTGCCTGTGACGCCACCTGGGAGGTGGACTCCATCAACACTCGAGTGCACGAGGGGTGCGGGTCAGTGCTGTGTGTCCATCGCGGTCACCACGCGTCCAGTCTAGCTGGCTCTCACTCCAGCTGTTCTCTGGCTGTATCTGAGGTGAGCTGGGTGGCTAAAAGCTTTGGCGGAAAACACTGGGAATTTAGTCGAAGGCAATTAAAAAAAAAACAGCTGTGCCGAAAGTCTAAGCAAGAGCTCAGACAAGCAGGAGTGTGAGTCTGTGGACAGTCTCCTTGCTGGTGTCCCGCTGCGCGGCGTCCAGGAGAAAGGCAGTGGAGACTCGGGCGCGTGGGGCCCAGGGTGCCCGTGCTCCCGCCGCCCAGCCGAGTCTCCGGGCATCGTGACGAGTAAGCCGGGCTGCCCCTTGATGTGAGGGTGCGGCGGCCTCCCCCTGCGCTGACTCGGCAGCTCCGCTCCTCCCCCCGCCTGTCCCCAGTGTCACCACTGCTGCGCTGCAGTAACTGTGCCAGGCCCTTGTTGAATTGGTGGCAGACGCACGTCCACCTGCAGCGGCCTGGAGAACAGGACAAGGAGATGCGGCTCAGCCCACAACTCAGGAGCTAATGAGGAGAGTCACCGGTGCTCAGACAAGAGCTTAGTGGGAGGCAGCAGGTCGGACGTTACAACAGCAAGAACCCCTGCCCTCTCAGCCAGACTACACCTATTGCGTGGAGGCCATTCTGGCTCATAGTGACCCAGTGGGACAGAGTGGAACTGCCCACAGGGTCTCCAAGGCTGTCAGTCTTCACAGAAGCCAACTGCCCCATCTCTCTCCTGCAGAGAGCTGGTAGGTTTGAAGCACTGACATTCTGAGTCGGAGTCAACTTGCTGGCAGGCGTTTTCTTGAAGATGACTGTATGCAAAGGGTGAAAAGGGAAATATTCTTGCAATCATGGGAAGGATGGTCACCTCAGCAAAGAAACGTCATTAGCCTCAGGGGCCAGCTCTGACTCTTGGCTGTTGTTGTTGTTGTTATTTGCCGTTGAGTCGCCCCTGACACATAGCGACCCCTCCTTGCGTTTCCGAGGCAGTATCACTACGGAAGTAGGATTGTCCAACCTTCCTTCCGAGCAGTGGCTGGTGGGTTTGAACCGCCAGCCTTCTGATTAGCAGTCAAGTGCCTTAGGCACTATGCTACCAGAGCTTTCTGAATGTGTACTGTTTTCTCCCTTCCATTCTCAGAGATTTACAAAACCCAACTGTCCGTTTGTTTATTAAGGCTGCACAGTTAAGCAGTCAACCGTAAGCCAAAGGCTGGTGGTCCAAACCCTCCCAGAGCCGCTGTAGGTGAAGGGCCTGGCAGTCTGTCCTGTGTGTGTGTCTGTGTCCGCCCTTCTTCAAGGACGCCGGTCCTGTCAGCTTGACTCCCTGCACGTCTCATGTCTCTGTGTCTCCACATCCCAGGACACACCTGTGGCTGTACCAGGTTGCGTGTTTGTTTGTTGTACGTTTTCTTATAAGAAGAGGTGTCTCAAAACAGTAAGGAGATGACTCATTGGCAGCAACTTTGCCGCATTTCACCCGTTTAAAGCCACGCACAGAAATCCGCTCAGGATCCAGGAGGCTCTCACTCAACTGCAGTTTTCCTTTTCCAGTCTAACATGCAATGGTCTCGGCTGAACGTGAGCGCATAGTTGCAGAAACCAAGCAGGCGGGTGATACGTGGGGGTGGCCGGCGGTCAGCCCGGGAGCCCTAATGGACTCGCCTTCTCTCCCTTCCCTGAAGGCCTCTCTGGAGACTTCCTGCGTGCGGGAAGGTACTCTGCGCACACGGTCAACGGGGCCTGGTCGGCCTGGACGTCCTGGTCCCAGTGCAGCCGCGACTGCAGCCGCGGCATCCGGAACCGGAAGCGGGTGTGCAACAACCCCGAGCCCAAGTATGGGGGGCTGCCGTGCCTGGGCCCTGCCCTGGAGTACCAGGAGTGCAACATCCTGCCCTGCCCAGGTGAGTGTGGGGACAGCGCGGGCAAGTGTGGGCGCCAGGGGCTGGGCGAGCGCAGGCCGTCCTCTCCCTAAGTGTCGCAGTGACGTCATCGCCCGTTGGGTTGGTGGGTGTCTCGGTTCCCTGGTGCTGCTGTAACAGAATGCCACAGGGAAGTGGGGGGGTGTGTGCAGGGGGGAGCTTTAAAGGATGGAAACGTGCCTCTCACGGTTTGGGAGCTGGAAGCCCCAGCTCAGGGCACCAGCTCGGGATGGGGGGGTGCTTCCCAGTCAGCTGGCGTCCTGGGGATTCTTGGTGTCTTCATAGGGTACCCAGGTGTGTCTTCGTCTAGTCCTGTCTTTGTCTAACTCGGGATGGGGTTCAGGACCCACCCTGCTCTGCCGTGACTCCTCGTTCCACACAGGGGACACAGTTCAGTCCACAGCACCCAGGGGGATGGGAAACGAGCCAACAGAGGGTGGGGCGCCCTCTGCCTCCCCATCATCCCACCCGGGTTCTAGCTGTCCATCCCACCTCTTTTCCGGCTGCTCTGGGGCTCTGTTCCTGCGTGGAGAAGACCTGGCAGGCCTAGCTGTGCTTGACATCTGTCTGGGGTCCTTCCTCCAAGAAAAAGTCAGTACGTGAAAGTGTGCTTCCCACCCACATTAGTGCAGAGACGTAAGGTCCAGGCCAAGTTTTCCTTCACTTTGTCTTCTGATTGTAAAGGAAATTACAGCTGTCTCCTGGGTCCCTCAGGGCTGTGGGACCCAGGCCTGGGCTGGGGAAGAAGCAGCCCTTCTGACCTATGCCCCTCCTTCTCGGGCACTGGTCCAGCCCTCAAGGTGTCTCCCAGTTACAGGTATCACCAACCCCCACTGCCCCATGGTGCCCGCTGGGCAGGACTCTGCTCTCTTCTGAGCCACTCTCTCCTCCACGGGAGTCTGACACAGAGTTTGGGCCCACACCTTCCACCTGAGAACAGCTTCTTGTCCTGTGGAGTTTCCTGACCTGTGAAAGGTTACTGCATTGGGCTGAAAGGTCCCCACCAGCACCCCAAGGGTCCCTGGGTGCTGACACCACCCGAAAGCCTCCTATCTCTGCCCTACCCCCAACTACTGTCCAGATCCCCCATCCTGGGGTCCCAGGGTGCCTCCATCCCAATGTCCATCTGTCTTTGCATTTCTCGCCTTCCAGCCCTCCCGCCCTCAGCGGCCAGAGCATCTCTAACCCAACACATCCCGGCCACCCCACGTATTGCTTTGTATTATGCACACTGTCCCTGTCATCTGAGCAGAAGCCCCATTGGGACAGGAACCACATCTGTCCCTCTCACCACAGTAACCCAGCTCCTGGCTTGGGCCAGGAACATGTTAGAAACCCCTCCCAGATGCTGAGAGGACAGGAACCTTCCGTCCCTCCTTAACTTTCTCAGCAAACTTTGGGCAGCCCACTGTGCACCACGTAGGCACACAGACACTGATGTGGCCCAGGGAAGAGGGGCGCACAGGTCAGTGATGAGGCTTCCTGGGACCTGTGCCAGCCCAAGACAGTCACCAGCTTGGGTTGGTGACAAGCTGCAAGGGCCACATCAGTGAAGGACCCTGTGAGCCATCTTTCTAGAATCGTCTAACAACACCAAATGTGCTGTACTGAGCCACGTCCCAAAGGGGAGGCAGGAGTTGTCCAAATAGTCCAGCGGGAATGGGGAATGAGGGTCCTGTCAGTGACGAGGTGCCACATTTTAAAGGAACAGATCTCAGCATCCTCATCTTCTCTAGCAGATGCTGCAGTTTTATGAGTTCCTGGCGTAAAGAACTGGCTTGTCTCAAGTGCTCAGTGAGCATCTGTGGATGGATGGATGGATGGATGGACAGAATGTATAGATGAGAGGTCAGGAGGAAGGATGGATGAATTGACAGATAGTGTATAAATGAGAGGTCGTGAGGAGGGATGGATGGATGGATGGAAGGATTGACAGGATGTATAGATGAGAGGTCGGGAGGAAAGATGGATGGATGGTGGGTGGATAGATGGATGGATGGATTGACAGGATATATAGATGAGAGATTGGGAGGAAAGATGTTTGGATGGATGGTGGGTGGGTGGAAAGATGGGTAGATGGATGGATGGACAGGATGTATAGATGAGAGGCAGAAGTTGGATGGATGCTGAATGGATAGCTGGATCAGTGAATAGTGTAGATGGATGGATGGATAGGCAGATGGAGGGATGGATCAATGGATGGGTGGATGGAGGGACTGGTGGAAGGATGGATGGATAGAGGATGGATGGATATGAATAAATATGTAGACATAACTGACAATACACAGTCCCTAGCCCCATAGCTGAGGCTCCCATAATGCCCTCACTCTGACGGTGCTCCGCCCCTCCTAGCATATGTCTGTGGAGTTCCTTTGGCCTCGCAAAGACTCCTGCCCTGACCATCCAGCCTTCCTGGCCAGGCTGATGCTGAAGGGCTGGGAGAGGTCACAAGCCAGTTCTTTCCCACAGTCCCCAGCAGGGACTATCCTATCCTCCCCGAGGGCCGGGAAGAGGCTGGTGGGGCAACATCACTGCATTAGTGTCTGTGCTATAAATAGCAGCACAGAGGAAGCCGTGGGAATGGCCAGACCCTCCTCCCCCCTCCCTGACTGCACACAGACTCCTCACTGGCATCTGCAGAATGAGCACATTCCTCAGGGATGCTGCAATGCTGTTTGTCCCGAGCCCAGAGGGTCGCAGCCCTTGTCACAGATGGTGCAGTGATGCGCTCTGCCAGCTCGGGCCTTTAGAGGCTCACTTGACGGTCAAGCCGGAACCCTGTGTGCATAACTGTGGTATCTCCCCGTAGCTCTGCCCTCGTTTCCCCTTCGGTGTTGGGAATTGTTGAGAGTGGCCAACTCCACTTCCCACGTGTGAGTTACCGCGTTCCCAGGCTGAGTGGTGCAGACGCCAATTGAGCCTCTCTCACCTTCTACAACATTCCCAAACCTGAGATAGGCTGCAACTCAGCACGAAGGGGGTGGAAGCCTTCAGGGCTGTGGGTGCTGAGCTCAGCGCCCAGTGGGAGACCCACTTCCTGGCCTGTTGTGTAGACTCTCCTTCCTGTTAGGCTCTCCTCCCTGGGAGCTGACGCCTCCACCCTTTTCTCTCTCTTGGACAACTTCCAGTTTGGGTCCTGCATTTCATTAAAACCTGACCCGTCCTGTGATTCCATGTGAAAGTAGATCCTGAGACACTATCTGAAGGCAAAGACCCTGTCAGTTGATCAATGAGAAATCCGGTCCCAAGTTCTAATATGTGTAGGAAACCACACGGGGGGGGGTTCAAGTCGAGCCCAGGAGGACAGATCCTGTTCTCACCCGTTGGGGCCTTTCTCTACCCTGTGGCTGTCCTCACCAAACTAATTATCTCCAACCCTAAGACACAGCCTGGGCTTTCTCCCTCACCCTTGCCCTTTCTCAGTACTTGTTGTCAGCTCTGAGGACCCCGGACCTTGGCCGACAGCAGAGCCAGCAGAGGCTTCTCTGTTGCTAAGCAGTCCTCAGATAACAGGAAGGCAACTCAGAGCTTTGTTTCAGCTCCGTGAGACCCAACACCGGAAACAGAAGCTCCTTAATTAGATCGAGCTAAGATGCTTCCATTCTGTCTTTGTTAAGAGAAGAATGGAAAGTCAGGGAGAAGGTGTAGCGAGTGTGGATAAAATGGAGGGACTGACTGATTGAGACTAGGAAGGAGGTCAGGGTGTTCTCTGAACAGAGCGTCTGCCGGACACGACACGTGTGCGTTTCCCTCCTGCAGTCCTGGTGCCCACATTCCGCTCTGTCAACTACAGGTGACATGGGAGGGTGAGTTGAGGTCTGCCCTGGGGGAGAAGGCATAGAGGCGAGACTAGAAACCTCCTGTTCACAGTGTCTTAGTGTCCAGGCCACCGTGATCAAATACCACAAGGAGTGGCTTTAAAGAAAGAGAAATTGCTTGTCTCCCAGTCTGGAGGCCGGGAGTCCCAGTCAGGGTGTCAGCCTTATCAACTCCCTCTGTGGCTCCGAGGCAGGAAGGATTCCTGCCTCTCTCCCGGCTTCTGGTGGGTCCACGTGTCCATGCCTGGCGTTCATGGACTTGCAGTGCTGCGTCTCCCTCGTGTTCACCTGAGCTCTCTCTGTCCCTCTCCCGCCCTCTCTGTCACCTCCCTCTCCCTGTGTGTGTGTGTGTGTGTGTGTGTGTTATGAGGACTAAGGCTTGCAGCTGTGTCTTCCTCTGTCTTCACCTTCTTTCTCTCTCTCTCTCTCAGCCTCTCTCTCTCTCTCTCAGCCTCTCTCTCTCTCTCCCTCTCTTTCTCCTCCTGTGTGTCAACTTGGCTGGGCCTGGTTGAGTGGCTGGGAAGCTGGATGCAGTTTTCCCCATGAGGAGACTGGTCATCAACTCCATGGTGGAATCTACTGTGAGCAGCTAAGTAGCTGCCTTAGGGCTGTGGTCTGCTTCCTGTATATAAGGAGAGGCCTTGGGGAATGGTCTCTAGCCTATGGCATGCTTGGACCCTGCATGTAGCCATGTCATTGTTCAGCAACCTGCCATGCTCTGCCGACCTTGGAGCTTACGAAAGACTGAAATTAATGGCCTGCTGTGTGGTTTGGTAACATCAGGACTGTCCATTTTTACTGGTCAACCTTGGGCTTGTCAGCCTCAGCAGCCAGCAGCTGCCTGGGTAAAGAGACGCCTCTAGCTTCAGTAGGCCGGGAACAAGAGGCTGGCTTTCACCCAGCCCCTAGAGCCTGGCACTTTGAACTTGGACTTAAAGCCTCCAAATTGTAAGAGTAAACCCCTGTTTGTTCAAGCCATCCCGTGTGTGGCGTGTTCTTGTCAGAGCAGTACTGGGGAACCAGAACACACAGGATTAGCTCCCATCTACTCCAGTGTCACGTCATTTCCATAACCAATAACATTGCCAGAGACCCCATTCCACGTGGGCTCACGTTCACAGGACTTCAGCGTGTCTTTTGGGGGGACACAGTTCAACCCATAAC